TTTTTCCAATCCCCATTCTTTGAAAAGCTTGTCTGCCTCCAGTGTCCCATAATATGCTCAAAAAATGATTTTATAGTAAGTCAAAAGTCCTGTTTTCTTAATTGTACATTACAGGAAACATGATAGCAATTCAGGAGCCTTGGGATGTCCAAAAGCAGAGTAACCGAGGGGTGGGCAACACAGAAAACAAACCTCTTACAGGCCCACGTGAACCGTAGGTAGGGGCTCAATAGAGTTCACAGAACCACTTGAAGCACCTTACATCCTTTCAGATGAGGTGTGAACATCCACGTGGTAAAACGTAACAAATGTGTAAACAGAAGAGCAGGTGACAGTCTAGTCAGTCAAATCTGAATGCTGAGCAGCCCATGAAACACCAACTGACTTAGTGGAGTGTGCTTGATACGGAAAGGTTGAACCTGGTCTTTAAGACTGTAGGTGTGACAGATGAGCTGTCTAATCCACCTGAAGATAGTGGATCACAAAGCAGGTTGTCCCCTACGGGGACTTTCAGGAATGACAATAAAGAGAGTCAGTTTGTTTAATTGAACCTGTAGCTGAGAGACAGATTTGAACATTGCGCACCAAAACCAGACAGTGGAGAGAAAATTTCTTTGAGATGTCATGGAGCAGATGGTCTTGGACCTCAATACAAACTTGCTTCTGTGAAGCACAAGAAAATGTTCTTTACTGGTATATACTTGCCAACTCCAAGACTCAACTTGCTAAGGTGATGGCAACACGGAAGGCAAACGTATGCATGATAGTAGACAGGGGATATCGCTGATCGGCTCAAAGAACGGTTTCCGGAGAACTAACAGAACCATGTTAAGATCCACAGAACCACTGGAGAGTGTACAGGAGAAACAATGTGAGCGACATTCTGTACAAAAGGTTTTAATTGAGATGCAAGAAAAATAAACTTTAGGGCCTAGATTTGATCCTTGATGGTTGGTAAGGACAAATTTTGATCCAAACCAGATTGGAGAACAGACAGGATTTTTCCCACAATTAACTTCCTAGGATGGGAATTCCAGGTAGAGAAATATGCCTTCCAGGTGCAATGGTAGATTTTCTGACAAACTGGAAGGGCCTACGAAGAGTCTGCCAGGAGTCTGGCAATGCCCAAGTACCATGTTCATCTAGGCAGGTTTAGTGCACAGACAGTCAAAGGGAATTTTATCCTGAAATGAAGACGAGAAAGGAGTTTAAGAGTGAAAAATGTATAGATCAGGTTAAACTGAGTCATTAAGGCATCCACTGTGGAAGTCACAGGATGCCTGGCCCTGGAGGCAAACTTGCTGCAAGACCTCCCTAGTGGTTGGTGTAAGCCATGGCGTTGTTTAATTGAATCCTGATTGCTGACCTTGCAGTCAAGAGGTCCAGCGCTGAAGGGACAGCTGACCCACACTGAGTTCCAGAATGCTGATCTAAAGATGAGCTTCCTTTGGCGACCAAGCCCCCTGTACTGAGAGAGTCCAGGACTCCCCTCCAGCCCGACAGGCTTGCATCCATCGTTAGAATCTTCCAGGGTAGAGAAAGGAAGAATTTCCCTACTCAAGGCTGGACAGGGTAATGCTGAGTACCCACTGCAAAACGCAGAAAGTGTTCATGTGTTGGGAAGACACATGAAGCACAGAAGCCAGAAAACCCCCCAGATATAAGGATGCAATTATTAATCTGGCAGATTCCATGTGGAATTTTTGAACTTGAAGGAAGGTGGTAAAAGCCTTCAGATCCAAAATAGTGCAAATTACCTTATTGACTTTGCTGTGAACTCGACCCAGACATCTCAAATGTCCTAGGACTACGTGGCCAGAAAGGCCAAAAGGCATCTCCCTATTCTGGCTTGTGGAGGCATCCCCTCATTTTGAGGAGAATTTGCTTAGTTATTTGAAGGTTTTTGGAGTCCAGAGATTATGGCGGAACTGACTCCCACTTTGCCTTGGGTTTTGAGGCCTGCAAGAAACCAAATAAGCTTTTCCTAGTTTCTGAGGTATAGGATTTTTCCGATTCAGATTTTGCCTACTTTTGCTGGAGTGCGTTTCCCCCCAAGTGCCATCCTTAATGAAGTTGTCCAGGAATTTGCCAAAATCGCATTTCCTCAAAAGACACGGGCAGACAGCGTTTCTTTGACTGCTGTTCCGCAAATCAACATTTTAGTCATAAGGTCCTCTACAAGTTTACGTAAAGGAAACTCATTCTGGATATCAGGCAATATCCGCAATGATCTCCGTTATGCTATCCACACAGTAGAAAAGGGCCACAGGCACGAGCCCCAGGTGTTGGAGAACCGAGGGATCAGTCTTAACCCCTTCGTGACGGGAGACGTACAGTGTACGTCTTGTCACTTTGTGCCTATATGACTGGCCACGTACACTGTACGTGACGAGTTATATCAGGCTTTGTAATGCCGGTATTTGCTGATTCTCAGCATTTAACAGTCATTCATTAATGTCTCAGTATTGAGGCATTAATTAATGAAATAATTAAGCTTTTTGTAAAAGCTTCTTCCTTTCATTAATGAAAGAATGAAGCCGTTACATGCAAATAGAGGACCGCAATTTGCGATCCCGTATTTGACAGCTCAAAATAGCAGAGAGGCAGCAGTGACTCACCTCACCTCTCTGCTATTTGTTTTGACAGTTCGAGAGCCCGATGTTTAGATACATTTCACTGAAAGAATACAATGTATCTCTTTTGAGTGAAATGTATCATTTCGTCTAGGCACGATCAAAGAGCTTTTAGTGAGATCTGAATCTGACTAAAGTCAGGATCAGTCTCTAAGGTTATTATTAGCTGTTCCTAAGTTTGGATCAGCCTAATAGCCAAAAATAAAATAAAAAAGTTAATTTATCAAGCTGTCATAGTGATTGCTTGATATAAACTGACAAGAAAAAAAAAAGTTTTTTTATTTTATTTTTATTTTTTTTACAAAGTGTAAAAAAATTAAAATGAAGTGTAAAACAAAATTAGGAAAATATAAATTATATATAAATATATTTTTTATACTATAATTAATATAAAAAAATTCTAAAAAAAAAAATAATAATCAAAACTTGTGAAAAAAGTGTTTTCTTCTAGTTTTTTTCCTCATTTTTTTATTTTATTCAAACTAAGTGAGGGGTTAGGTACACATATGTGATATAATTATATAGCCCTATCTGTCCTCTAAAAAACAATATATAATATGTGTGGGTACATTTAGTAAGAAAGTATATTACTGCTGTGGAAGAATCACACAGCAAAAATGTCAAAAATGTGTCAGTCATTTATGAACAGAACCTGAAAACTAGCTCAGTCATGAAGGGGTTAATAGACGCTAGATCCTGAGGAATTTATTTGGGCCAGACAGCAAAGCTCTGGTCATGGTTGCAGTTGCAGGTTGCAGAGTAGGGCCTGAAAGGGCAAATAAAGCCTTAGAAAGGTCTGCTAGTCTGTTATCCACATGGTCTTTATCTACAGGGATGTCCTCTGCAAGGGCAGCTACAGGTATTGGGAAGTCAGAAATTCACTCTGGAGGAGAAGTTATGGCCGTCCATTTGCATCCCCTGGGTTTTGATTCAGCTGACATGACTAAAGCTTTTACCAAAAATTCAGACATTGTACCAAAGTTTTTTCTCCCTGGATAATACAGAGAAGGAAACAAGCCCAGAAGGTGTGAAGGATAACTTTGAAGAGTGCTGAGACTCAGACAAGGAAAATACAGACACGTTATCATGGCTATCTGTGCTAGGGCCTTTAGAAACCAAGCTGCCCCAGGATCATTAATGGATCCTATTCTGGCAAGACCTGCCAGACACTCCCTTGTGCTTCTAATCCACCATACTGCTGTATGTAAGTGAGGGATTCCCTATGGGGTACTGATAGCCACTTTAGGAAGCAGGAAGGGTTAATGCCATCTGTGACCTTGTTACTGGAGGCAGCAGGGAGTCCAAAAGAAGTCCATAGATTTTAGTGGTGGTGCAGCACGTAGGGAGGAGGTGGGAGGTGCTGGGAGGTCAGCCTGTGCTCAGTAAATTGGTGAGCACACACATAGTGTGCCCCCTTTTAAGGAGTGTGTGCAGGCTCAGTGTGGTGCACAGGCAGTGATCCTAGCATACCAATATCTAAGGAAAAGAAGGCAGTGCCCCTCTCCCACCACCAGCATGCAACTAAATCTGTTAACCTCTAAAAGGATCCCTAGTAAAAGCCCATGCTAGGTCTGCAATGAAAGGGCAAAGCCCCTGTGGTAACCCACAGATAAAGGGTGTAGGCAGGGATAATGGGACAAGACTCATCCCCGTGGTCTTTGCCCCTCCAGTGGGCATACTCCCTAGGAAGTCTTCAGGAACAGGCTTCCAACACAGGTGCAGTATGGCCCTGAACCTGTAAAGCACCCTGTGGTTAACTCCCATGTTACACCAAGGATGTCTAGGAGAATGCATTTTGCAGAGCCCAGTGTATGAGGATACATTACAGGCTGGCTCCCCTTTTATTGTATTCCTTTACAGCGGGTTATAACTGTATTTAATTTCTCTGTTATATTTATACATGCACTACACGCACACACACGCACACACACACACACACGCACACACACACAAAGGTGTGTGTATATATACATCTGTATATACCGTACAGTGTATATATACATATGTGTATACAGTGTATACTGTGTATGTATATATATATATATATATATACATATTTATATATATATAGATAGCTAGTGTGTGTGTAAATACATATGATCTCTCCATATCAGTGTTTTAGTGTCTCAATACAAGTGTATAGCAGCACAGTAAGAGCACAAGATAAGAAAAGCTTTGATGGTGTCTCATGCTGCCCTTTTAAACTGTATTTGTTTCAAATAATTTAGATTGAAAGGGTCATTCGAGAAGGGCAGTGCTTAGGATGTAAAGAGCCAGTAAATGGGAAGTGACAGATCTCTAGCAATTGAAGTCTTTCACAGTTGAATGAATTGACAGTGACAGCAAGACATTGGAGTGCTAACTCACCTTTCCAGAGCCTTTGCCATTGCTTCATATGCTTTTCCTAGACCAACATTATCTCCAAGCTCTTTGGAGATTTCCATAGATGTATTTAGAAACTGCGGACCCAAGAAAAAAACATATTATGATAATATAAATACTATACTTAATTTTGCACTGAAATTACATCATTGTAATAGTAAACATTTAACCATTATATGTCTGCTCAGAATGCTTGATAAGATGATTGAGAAAGCAATGATAACATACACATATGCACATACCCAACGTTTTTGGCATTCCTGCACCATACACAACTCTATTCTTGAATCTTTGTCTTGTATTTGGGATAATGCATTAAAAAAACCAAAAGCCTGCAGCTTAATGAACGTTAACAAGCAATAAAGTATTCCCTTAACTAAATTACCCCACACAAACTTAATTCTTTGCTACAGTGCGGAGATCCCGGTGCCAGAAGAAGCTACTTTACTACCTGCATTAGAGTATAGGTGTAAAAGTATAAGTTATAATATATAAGTAGTCAATCACATTGCATTTATGACCGTTTCAATTTCATTCTGACATTTTTACATCTTCCTAAATGTTAAGGTTGCATTGTGAAAACGCTCTCTCTTCTGTGAACTGACATATTTTAATGGGCATTAATTCTCTGCTGTGTTTCCTGTTGTGCAATTTGCATGTTTCTGTCTGAAAATAAATAAATAAAAAATACTGCAGGTCATATGGTATAATGTATTAAGTGCACTACATGGCCATTTGTTTCCTGACAATGAAAGTGTATGTATAGCCAATGTTTTTAGATAGATACAGAAAGGATTAGGTTTGTGTATCCACTCTCTCTATTTGCCCTGGTGACTATCGTCAGTGAAATAGAAAGTAATGCAAAAACCAACAGAGTTATCACCAGAACAGGGGTGAAATTGTTCAGTGGGGATACCAGTTCCAGAAAAAAACTGTCTAAGAGAGTAATTCCCTTGACTTTGTAGAGATTTACTGTCACTTCCTGTTGCATTTCCAGGATAAGCTATTAAGGGAAATCTACCCACCCAATGGAACACAGACAGTTGCACAAATTTGGCTATATATTTGGTCATTGTCCTGCTGTGAACCTCTAACCTAGTCATTAGTCTCTTTCAAACTGAAATAGTCTTTTCTCAAGAATTATCCTGTATTTGATCAAATCATCTAGTCCTTTGATCAAATCATCTAACCCTTACTACATTTACTGTCTCCACCATGGGGCTTGGGGTTCTAAAGGTGATGAGCAATATTGGCTTTCCAGCACACAAAGCATTTTATGTTAAAGGAGAATTATGGGGTGAGTGTAAAACACTCATCCCCATCATTCAAGCCGACATGTGACACTAAAGCTGTATTGATCGGAAAGTCAGCAAACATATACCGCTGATCACTGACCTCCCGGTCCTCTTCTTGCAGAGAGCGGTGACTTCCAGTCAGCGCTCCTGACAGGGTTCCCCCCCTCCCCTCTCCAATCCTCCAGTGCTGACTGGAGTAACGGACGGGGGAGGTGGCGGGCACAGCTAACAGCCAGCAGGGTGCATCTCAACAGTATTGTCGGGATCCGTCATGGCTGCGGTGCAGCCCTGGGTTCTCAGCATATAACGGGCAATAGCCTGCTATATGCTGAGTTTTGGGTCACCAAAGGACATTAGTATATGTCCTACCGTGACCCTGAAAAGAACTATGGGCAAAAAAGGTCGGCCCATAGTTCAAAAGCAAAGTGAGCCGACCGCTGTTCGGCTATTCACTTCAGGATGGTACGGCTGATTTCAGCCGTGTATCGGCTGAAATCAGCTGTACATCGGCTGGCTTCGGGTTGGCTGAACATGCTCAGCATGTTCAGCCGACCCGAAGTGCAGAAGGAGTTCGACTCAGCCGATCCAACATCTGGATCGGCTAAGCCGAACCTCTGGCAGGCTACTCACTGCTGTGCGGTCTATTCTTATAGATGCCGAACAGCAGTGAGTGAATAGCCGACACGAATAGATGTTTTGGTGGATGGCCTTCTCTAGGTAGAGTTGCAGTTGGACCATATTCTTCTATTTTTTAATGATGGATTGAACAGTGCCCATGGGGATGTTTAAAGCCAGTGATACTTTTAAAAGCCAACCCTGATGAGTGGTTCTCTTGATCTTTTTCCCCAGACCTGTTTTGTCTCCACCCAACCCAGTCTGTGGCAGCAGTTGCAGAGGTCGGATTTTTGAGCGTGCTTGGGCAAACTCAGGCAAACTGGGTTTACATCAAGCCCATCCTCATCACAGTTCCCTGGCTGTCCTGCTGATCCAATGGCTTAAGTAATATTAAAGGTTTAGGGGTTTAGGGACTATTTACTTAGTAAAGTGAATGCTTACTTAGCGTATTAAGGTGAAGTTGTGTTTACTTTAAATATATCCAATCATGTACAAGAGAAATTTAATAAACAGATTGATATAAGTAAACACAGCTTCACCCTATGTAGTAAGTTCAGTGAATATTCACTTTGCTAAGGGAACTTAATCCTTTAGTGGATTAATCCCATTGATTTAGAACAAGTATAGTTTAGGAGCTCTGATGATTTAATATCACTTTTTTACATGTGTTCTCCAGGTCAGTGTCTTAAAGTACCAGAGACAGCCAGGCACCATTTTACGAGTACAGGTTTTCTTTAACAGAAAGGTAAGGACATCAATGACTGTCACATGTTTGTAAGGAAGGGGCCTTCTCTTTCCTTGCATAAAGGACAGGAGGCATGGTTAAATTGCATTATATATTATATAAATACAGAAATTCTTAAATTTGACAATAGCATTTAATAGAACCCATACCAGAACTGTAAATAGTAATAATAAAGACCATGATGATATTATCAGAATCAATACTGTAAAATCAATACAAGTTTAAACGTTTGAGAAGTCTTTATGTGCTTGCTAATTAGTCCATTTGCATTGTATTGCTTACTTACTGAATTGTTTATGTGGCAAGCACTAAACTTAGTATTAAAACAAATTGATGGTAGTTTCGTAAACGCAGTGCATTAAATGTACACTAGTGTCAACTACAAGTATAAATTAGCAAATTAATTTCCTCTACCTGCCTGACTCTGGGAAAAAGAACAGATCAGATTTTATTGGAAATACATTTCTTTGATTTCTGGCAATCTAAATGCACTCAGCCATTCCGCAGTGTGTGAGCAGTAAGAGTGCTTCTGCCTCATTTACGGCTCTAGAGTAGGATTCATACAATCAACTGGAACATTAGTCAAAGCGATCCCGAGCTAATGACTTCTGACATGTGCTGCTGAAATGGACTGGGGAGCCTGCTGAGCCTCTGAAGCTCAGGGAGACGTCGGAGACAGAGGTAGGTGACTGCGATTGTAGATATGATATTGACACTGAATATGTCTGTGACTGTATGAAATCATATACTATCTTTCAATGCATTTTCTGCCGAAAATATATGATGAAATGTATGTTGTATTGCCTGTAATTTACTTTAAATGTAACTATTAAAATATAATTCCTGAATGGGATATAGCAGAACCTAAGATACTGACTTCACACCCATAATAAAGCATAATTTTATGTCATTTTATTTGCTACTGTTAGGTGCCTCTAAAAGATTTGCTTTTACTCTACATCAGTCAAAAGTCAGTGTTTGCAAAATAACCCCTGTCATGGATCACCTTATCTAAAGTATCCTTGGCTTGTGCACATTTAACCTTAGCCCAAATTATATATAAATGTTTTCTAAAAAAATGTATTATGTTGTAAAGACCAAAAAATATGTATTATTATTAGTATTACTATTATATAAAATTAATGAGCTCTGTTGTATATGTGATACTTAATTGTTATGTATTGTATTGAGAACAAGTACTCCTTAACCACTGAAAAGTAACTTCACTTTCTTAAATGTAACACAATCCCCTGTGGGTTATCTATGTACACAGCAGTGGTGTCGGCCGGCACCCGGGTGACACCATTAGAGGGGTGACACCAAAATGATTGACAGTCATTTTGGTGTCATCCCCTCTGAAAAGTCGGGCACTCGGTCATGGACCGAGAGCCCAACAGATGCAGGAGAGAGGAGGGGACCCAGCGGCATACCTTATCCCGCTGGGTGAATGTCCCCTCCTCTCTCTGCCGGCGTCCATCACCCAAAAAACAGAAAGCCAATCACAGATGCCGAAAAATTACATTTCTTGGGGCATCCCATACACTAGCGGTGTGCAGAATGCCTCTAGGTTGCCATAATGCATTGTATTTTCTGACAGTTTTAATAAATTACAATGGCTGGAGATTGCAATGGAAATTAAATTACATTAAATTACAAAATGTATTATGCAGCAATTGTATATGCTATATTCATATTTTTTTTTAAAGTGTAGCTTTCCTTCAAAGTGAACCTTTGCCCAGACTATGCACACTGACGTATTTACATATACTAAACAAGACTGAACAATAAAAGCACTTAAAAGCAATTATCCCTGTAGCTATGGGGATTGTGGAGAAAGTCAACTTAAAAGTGATCAAAAATGCACTTGAGTCACAGCTATTTCTATGGTAAGCATAATCTTGGCAACATGCCAGATCTCCAATGTAAATAAACACCAGATGCTTGTAAGCTGTTAGAGATTGACTGACATTTTAGTTGTGATCTGAGAATTAATTACTTTGCAGTACATGCAGCTAGAGAGGCAGGTGATGGCTTGTTTTAAAGCTCTTAATGTGCTTGTTGAGAATATGTCTATACTTTAATGTCCATAGTCTGGGTACAGGTGAACTTTAAGTAGCCCTGATGTACACGTACTCATGTATCAATACTCCACAGCATAAGACAGAAAATTAATGTTCATAATGTAACATGCACATTGTCATTATAAAAGCCCACCAAACACTTTGCTAGCACTTCCTTACTGATCCTGCCTGGGCCACATGATTGGCTGCAAGACCCAGACACTGTTTCAGGGGAGGAATTCACATACAGTACTTTCCCATACCAAGATGTTAAATATATTGTTGCCAGCTGTAAAGGATATTGGAGTAACAAGGGAGTGCTGGCAAGGCTAGTTTGAGTGGGTCAGGGGAGATCTTTGAAT